TTGCCTCGCCTGACCTTTGAGGGCTGGCTTCGCCTTGCCCGACCCCTGAGGGTTGCCTCTGCCTCACCCGACACTGAGGCTGTGGGCTCTGCCTTGCCCGACCCCTGAGGGCAGACTCCACCTCGCTCGACCTTTGGGGTCATGCTCCATCTCGCCCGACACCAAGACCACAGGCTCTGGCTTGCCCGACCTCTAAGGGCTGGCTCCGCCTTGCCCAACCCTTGGGTTTGGGCTCCGCCTCGCCTGAACCTTGGGTTCTCGCTTCGCCTCGCCCGACCTCGAGGCCGGGGGCTCCATCTCACCCGACGGAGACCCATACCGCCGCCAACCACTCCAGGTCCAAGCATATAGGCTTGGGTTAAAGCTCTGACGCCAGGGAAGAGACTGGCATGCCTCAATGTAGCCCATGGCCCATGATGGGACATACCTAGGGGTTCACGTCAGGAACAGCATCGAGCGTACCGGTACTGTTCTGTCTAACCCCCGTACGAACACTGACGGGCGCATCAGTTCACCACGATGTCCACCAGGACAGAGTGGAGCGCCATGACCGGCAGACGACGCCTGCACATGGCGCCAGTGAAGGATAGAGCCACGACGAGAAGCTATCCCTGTTGACGTCTACAGGGTCGATGGGACCTGCATATAGGAGAAGGACCCGGTGATCCTAAAGGACTTCTTCCTCTCGTTCTCTTCTCTTCCTCCACTGTAATCCATGCTTTCCCTTGGCCTATAAAAGGGAAAGCATGGCGTCCCACAAGGGGCATCAGACTCGAATCGATCACATCGCAACACATCGCACCGATTCGGACTCGAACCCCGAATCAATTAGAACACACAAGCACACAGCAGGGAAGCGACCGAGCCCTCGGTGCTTGTTCGCTCCCCTAACTAGAGACTTGGGACCTGTCCCTCTCTCGACTGTTTGTAACCCCTACTACGAACTTTTAGTGCTAGTAACACGAGCAGCAGCAACGAACTGGACGTAGGGACATTCTGCCTGAACCAGTATAAACCTCGTGTCCTCTTAGCACACCATCCGAGCCAGACGCGCAATATTAGAAATTTACTTGTTGGTGGTAACTCAAAACACCGACACCGATTGACTGAAACTGGATGTAGGGCACGTTGTCTGAACTAGTATAAATCATGTGTCATCGTGTGGTAGGCCACATCCGATCACAACGCATGGCAAAACTATAAATATTTACTTGTTAGCCACATTTCGCACCGACAGCCCATGTTGCAAGCGTATATTTCAAGTGTTTCGGATGTTTTATCTGGATGTCGCAAGAGTTTCATCTTGATGTTGCAACAGTAGACCAGGATGTTGCACATGTTGCAAAAGCTATACACATATGTTCCAAGTGTATGTTCCGAATGTTTCATCTGTTTTTTCATACGTGTGTTTGCAAGTGTTTCATCTGAATGTTTCAAAAGTAGATCTGGTGTTACAACAATTGTTTCATATGCATGTTTCAAGTGTTTCATATGCCTTCAGACGTATGTTGCAAGCGTTTTTCAAAATTAGATCGGATGATGCATCTCCCTCCTCGCTTTTCTGCTGTCTTGCATCGGTGTCTCTTCCTCCTCGGGCGCCGGCTGGGCATCCACTGCCCCCCTTCCCTCTTTCTCGATGCTGGTGACGCTCTGGCCAACGCGAGCCCCATGTGGGCACGCGAAATGGCGCGGGAAACAACTTGCAGGCGTAGGCGTCCGGACGTCCGGACGCTAGTCGTTCCCTTTTTCCCATGAACCTGCTATGGTACGTGTTTCCTCGCGAAAAAAGAATTACTTATGAGAAAATCATGCGCAAGTTACAAACCACTAAAACAGTGGTAAACAAACCGGTACAAACTAGTATAACAAAAAAGAACCCGAAAGAAACCCTCAGCCTTAAACACCTATACAAGCTGAACCTTTAAGATCAAAATAGACATCGATGCAGTGATTGTTTATAGAAAAGTTATAACCATGATGGTAAATGACTAGTTGTTCATTGAGTAGAACAAGTTGTTTATAATTACTTTAAACGGAAAAACTTGTCTGTGTGCAATGTGAATTTTATCTACACGTCGTGCCCACAGTGTGATGTGTGGTTAACCTGTTGTCTTTCTCCTCCTCCCTCGTGCCTCTCTCTCAATTCTGATGACCCCGAGATCTGGCGATGTGAGGTGGGGCTACAGTTTTAGGTTGAGGATTTTGTGTTCTCTGCTTGTAATGGGAAGTTTTGGGAGGCTAGTTGATCGGTGGTGGTAGCGGTCAAGACGGCAACAGGGTAGGGTGCCAGGGGCGCCACCCGCCAGGCAGTGAAAGAGGTTGCTTGGATGATGCTAGTGGCAGAGATGACAGTTTGAGAGGAAGATGCCGGAGCGTTACCAGAGGCTATGGGAGGTGGCGAAGGCGAGAGCGCTTGGTCAAAGAAGGAGAAACTGGCTTTGATTTAGCGACAGTGACGACGAAGATGGCGTTGGCACCATCAGAGCGGGCTGTGATGGTGATGGGAGCATGGGGAGAAGAGACGTAGGAAGAAGAGATGGTGTGCGGATGTGGCTAACTCTATGTGTGCGCACACCTCACTGAACATTCATAATTAGACTCTCTGGCTAGGACCGCGGAGCTAGGTACCAGAACAGCGGCCACACCAAACTGGGAAGCTTGTATAGCAATTAACCAAACAACAATCCCCAGTCATGCATTTCAATGTGACAGTGCCCCAAATCCAGCATCTCTACGGAGCACCTAGGTGATTTTCACTACACTTTGTAGCGTACGTACCTTATTATTTTGCTAACCTTTATTGATAGACGTTGGTATTTACTCCATCTACAAAAGGATGCAACTATATGATTTGTGCAGGTTAACCTTTGATCAAGTTTATAGTAATATTTGCATTCAACTAGGTTTACTACGAAAATATATTTCATCATTAATAAATTTAATTATACTTATCTTCCGTTATAAATGTAGTACTTTTCTATATAACTTTGATCAATCTTTAAATCATTTGATTATTTAAAAAGTGAGAATACCTTTGTGAAGGGAGGGAGTAATTAACAGTTCTTTACCGCGAAAATTGTGTCAAAGACAGCAGTATAGCAGTTTTGGTGAAACAAAGTTCGATGCGTCAGCCTATTGACATTTCGGTCTCTATAAACGCTAAATAAAGTCCAAACCATCGGTACATCACGATCAAGCGTTTACTCGCCACGATTAAGATGACGCATGGGCGCTTATCTCAAACGGTTGGGAAGGTAGTTGCCACCCTGCACCAGCATCGACAAGCGATGGTCATATTCAGATGATAACACCGCAAGACGACGACGGCCGAGCGGTGGAGTCGGTGGCAGGCAGAGGCCGACGCGGGCGCGGTCCCCCTGCCCGGCTGCCCCTGGCCCCGCGCCTGCGCCACCGTGCCCCAGGACTTCCTGAGCCACAGCTAGCTCGCACATGGAAACGACGTGAGGTCGTGAACGGTGAACCCCTTCTGCGCTAAGTCGCTGACCACCTCGCCGCCCCGTTACGGCCTCACGGGTTACCCCAGCTTCGGCTGTTGAGCGTCAGGCGATTTCTGGAGTGGGCAAGAAGGTCACCCCATTCCTACAGTCAGGTTCACTGATCATGGTGATTGGACAATGCCATTCTTTTTATCATCGTGGGCAACTTGCCGACGCATAACGTATTTTTTGAACTGGTACAGTTCATCGAACATGTCATGGAGGAACTCGGGATACATCGTTGCCGTCGGCATCCCGTTGGTTGCGCGCATGAGAGACGAAGGTTCCTAAGATTTATAAAACCTCTCTTGGTTACATATGAGGTCGTACGTGACGCGCTATCAAAGTACTATACCAAGCTAAGGCTCTCAACCATTGCTTCCTGCCTTCCTCCATAACAAATACAATATACTCTTACAAACTAGAAAAATACGTGCACAATGTTCTTTTCGGTTCCTGCTCGACGATTTTCGTCTAGAGAAGGACCTGGTGCTCAGGTACGTTTGCTCGTTTTGATAAGACTTAGCCGGAGTTTTAGCTGAAGTTTTTGAGGGTCGGGGATTGTTCTGCCGCCTGCTGGTACCCTACTTAGGAGCTAAGTCTGCTAAGCTCTGTACGGCAATGGCTGAGCAAATTTGGCCAGAGCATAGCTTAGAGGTGCCGAGAAGATTGAAAAGGCGTCATTCTGCTCCTTTCCTTACCTTGACGCCGGAGCCGCTAGACGGACCAGGACGGTCGTGGAAAGGATCGAGATTTTGGGCACTTGATAACGAGAGCCATGAGGGTAGCGAGAACGAAGACATCAAGCAGAACGGTGTAGTTTCTGATGATGGTTTGATCAATTCGGAGAAGAAGCTTTTGAGTGACGCAGTGCGAGTCGGCTTCTCGGTGGACGAAGTGATCAGAGCTGAGACTGTTAACCGAAAATTTTCATTCTCCAAAATTTGATTCATTGGATAGGGGGACAGGGCATGTTAGCCATCCCCAACCTCTGGCCTCAAGAATTTCGGAGGTGGTGACGGATCTGCGGATGAAAAGGTCCTGGAAGCCATGGAGGGGTCCGTTGCCTAAGCCAAGGTCCCCACACAATCGGCAGCTGGGGGATATACTGGTCAAGGATCTAAGATCCAGTCCCAATGAAACAGTAAGATCTTTGAAAGATTTGTGCTATCTGAGGGGTAGATGCATTGATTTTGATTTAGAGGAAAGGGAGAGAGGGAAGACAGGATCGGCCTCCGTACAGGAATGGTCATTGGGCCATCCAAAGGTGGGTGGGCTGGCAAGGATCAAGGGAATTGAGGTGGGCTCACACCCAACTTTTAAGCCAACGCAGGGGTTAAGCCACCTGTTTAATGCGTGCCGAGGCGTCTGCCAGCGCTAAGGGACGACTTAAGCGGTGTGGCTCGGTCTTTAAAGATCAGTTCGCATTCTAGTCGTAGACTCTCTTTCGCGGAGGCTGTAGTCTGGGGGTGCAAGAAGGAGCGAGCGACGGAAGCGAAGAAGATGGCGGGCAACTTTGGAGCGCGTGGTAGGGATGAAAGGGTGGGTGCTGGTGCCTATGGCCCCTATCGTCGTGATCGTGGCACGTTTGGTGTGGATCGCAGTTGGGGTAGGAGAGAGGGTTTAGCGCGAAGGGGTGGTGCGCCCCATGGTGATTTCAGGGAGCACGACCCGGCAGGTCTGGGAGCTTCGGTAGGGGACGTGCTGGGCACTTTCCTCCACCAGCCGGAGCAGGGAGACACTAGCAGAGAAACGATCTTTGATCCACTTCGAAATTTGTCTTTAATCCCGATATTTTTGCTCCCGGGACTAGAGAAACCTTTAGTCCCGGTTGGTAGCTCCACCCGGGACTAAAGGTCTCTGCCCAACGGTTACCGAGGTGTGTCAGAGGCACGTCAGTGCGAGAATTTTTAGTCCCGATTTAAGACATGAACCCGGACTAAAAGTGTGACTTTTAGTCCCGGTTTGAGACACGAACCTGGACTAAAGATACCTTTAGTCCCGGTTTATGTCTCAAACCCGGACTAAAGGTGTCTCCAAACTTAATTTAAAAGGAAAGTGTATCTTATATAAGTTAGATGTGTGGTGGTAGGTGAGATGGTAACGTGTGCAAGAGCTGAAGTGGGAGGTCGTAGGTTCGAATATCCACAACTGCAACTATTTTTTACCCAATAAACACCTCTACTCCCGGTTGGAGGAACCGGGACTAAAAATCAAGACCTTTAGTCCCAATTGCGTAGTCCCGATTCCAAAACTAGGATTAAAGGGGTTTGAGAACCGGGACTACAGCCCGTTTCTCTACTAGTGAGAGGCGGACCTCTGGAACCAACACCGGGAAGATGGGTGTGGCAAGAGGAGAGGAGACAACCATTGTTGGAGGAAATGGGAAGTGGTGTGGGAGAATTTTCTCAGACTGATGGTGTAGGGTCTGGTGATGGGAACGGTGTGGAGTCGGACAATGATCTCGGTATGTCAGCAGTGTTGGGGAGGAACAGGGAAGGAGGTGAGATCATCAAGGCGGGTGGACGGTGCTCCAAGTGTTCGAAGAAAGGGCGCCAGGCTGCGGCGTGTAAGGCAGAGGTATACTGCGTTATCTGTGACTCACATGAGCACATGAATCACAGGTGTCCCCTCCTCAGGGCGCCAAGGCCCGTGGCTCATGCTGCGGGCTATGCAGTGATGGGTTTGGGATTTTATCATATCCCTCATGCGCCACTACCCAGGATGAAGAAGGATTCCAAGATGGCTCGGGTTTCAGTGGTAGGTGGAACTCTGTCTAGTGATCAGCTGATCATGCAGCTAAAGAGGGTCGTGCCTGTTAAGTTGAGTTGGGAATTAAAGGAGCTTGGGGAAGGTAAATTCCTTACCCAGTTCCCTTCTAAAGTCGAGCTGCAACGGTCAATCGCTTATGGAGGAGCAGATGCAAAGGGAGAGGGAGTGCCGAATGGCACTAGTCTACAGTTCGAAGAATGGCAAGAAAAGGAAGAGGGTTTTCTATTGCCTAAGATTTGGGTGAGGGTGAGGTGTATCAGATAGCCACTGCGTTCCTCATTCTGTGGGCAGTAGGGTCTCTGTTAGGCTCGAGTCAAACTGTTGACATGGAGACCACAAGGAAAATGAGTTCGGTCGAATTATGGTAGCCGTGCTTGATCCTAAGCTGATTCCAAGGAAGCTGGACGTAGTCATTGGTGACCATTATTTTGACTTAGAATTTGAAGTTGATAAGAGAGGTTTTTATGAGAATGGTGAGGAAGTTGACATTGTTTGGGATGGTGGAGAAGATGAGGGGGAAGGAGAGGGGAAGATGCAGGGTCCGAACAGTGGAGGGGGACTAGATGATGACCAATCAAATGAGAGGGTGAACAAGAGGTCTAAAGGGAATGATGGGGGAGACAGTGGGGAGGAGAAAAGGAAAGGATCTCAGTCTGAAAAGGATGCTCTAGTTAGTAGTGGTCACGTACTTAGCGAAGAAGAGTTTCAGGAGTTCCTTAATTGGAAGGCTAGCAAGGTGTTAGATATAGTTATGAATGAGGTTTTGGAAGAAATGGCTACAAAGGTGATGGGAGAAAAGGAGGGGCCCTTGGAGATAGCCTCGGATTCCACTGCTTGTGACATCTCTGATGAGACAGAGGCAGGGAAGGATGTGATGGAAGTGGAGGAGATTACGGTTGAGACTCAGTTAGAAGGGTTGGGGAAAACTTTAGAAATGTGTGCAGAAGCAAATGAGGAGGAACGTTGCATGCTGGCCGCTCAAGGTGGACAAGTTGATGCCAAATTCGTGGGAGTTGTGCTGATTCTAGAGGTCGTGCTGTCCCCGTCCAGGGCGAGTCCGCGGCTGGCTGGTGTGGCGGTAGAACATACGCTGGTGCGAGCAAAACGTGTGGTGCAGCCCAGGAATCTGGAGTGTAACAGAGGTAACAACTTGACGGATTTCCCTTTTTTCCCCTATCAAATGCTGTAGTTAACCTACGGGCTTTGGGCTTAGGGGTGGGCAGTAACAATCAGAGTTCTTTTGAAACAAATGTCCAAAACTTAGTGGAAGGGGATCTAGTTAATAACAGGCCTAGCCCTGTTTTGGGGACAGGAGTGGGTGAGTTTTCGGATGGTGAATCAGTCGACTATGAAAGTTTTGAGAGGAAAGCGCTAGAGTTTTTGTGTGGTGATTTAATGGAAGAAATCTTCGATGAAGACAGTTATCACCTAAGTAGTGATCTTAGAAATGTTCAAAGGAAACCTGGCGCTAAGTCGTCAAGAAAAACGGCTTCTAGAAAGCTAAAGGTCAAAATTAATAAGATTAGTGCGAAATGAATGAAATTTTCTGGAATAGCAGAGGTCTTCATGACTTGGCTAAAACCAAATTTCTGAGTAACGCTGCAAGAGAGCAGGGACTAGATTTCATTGCTCTCTTGGAAACCGGTAAAAAGGATTTTATACAGGCTTAGCTTGATAGGTACTGTGGGGGGAGGAATTTTGTATGGCACTGGACCGAACCGCATGGAAGGTCTGGAGGCATGCTGCTAGGAGTTAATCTTGATGAATGCGATGTTGGGAGTATAGAGGAGGGAGACTTCTTTATCAAGTTTCACCTCAGAAATAGGAGTGATGACTTTCACCGGTGCTTAGTGGCAGTCTATGGGGCTGCTCAGCCAGAGTTTAAAGAAAAATTCCTAACTGAATTGGTACAGGCGTGTAGGAAAGTCTCGCTCCCTTTACTGGTGGGCGGAGACTTTAATATAATCAGGAGCCCAAGTGAGAAAAATAATGATAACTACGACGATCGATGGCCCTTCCTATTTAGCGCTATCATTGATGGGTTAAATTTAAGGGAGATATAGATGTCGGGAAGAAAGTTCACTTGGAACAATTCTAAAAGTGTACCAACTTACGAAAAATTGGATAGGGTGCTGGCCAGCATGGAGTGGAAGCAAAGATTTTCCTTAGTCACTGTAGATGCACTGAATAGGGAAATCTCTGACCATACTCCCCTTCTTCTTAGCATTAGCGAGAAGGTGCACAGGAGCAGACAACATGAGTTCAAATTTGAGCTTAGCTGGTTCCTTCAAAAAGATTTCTCCGAAACGGTCATGAGGGTTTGGAAAAGTGTAGAGTATGGATATACACCAATGAAGAAATGACCGAATAAGGTTAGAAGATTAAGTCAATTTTTTAGGGGATGGGCAAAGAATGTGAATGGAAATTTTAGAAGAGAAAAGGAGGAGCTGTTTCGGCTAGCTGAGGAACTGGATATAAAAGCAGAGTCTTAGATTTTAAGCCAACAAGAGCTAGACCTGAAGTAAAGTGTGAAGGAAAGAATCACACAATTGCTTCGGGAAGAAGAGATCAAATAGTTCCAAAGAGCAAAAACTAAGAATCTGCTAGAAGGGGACAATAACACTAAATATTTCCACATGGTGGCCAATGGAAAGAGAAGGAAGACAAGGATCTTTCAGTTCGATCAGGAAGGGGAAATGATTGAAGGGCGAGAAAACTTAAAAGTTTTCATAACAAATATTATAAAGATTTGTTTGGGTAATCACAGAGAAATAATTTCTCTCTTGATGAATCACAAATAAATGATATACCTCAGGTTAATGAGAAGAAAATAAGCTGTTGATAGAAGTGTTCACAGAAAAGGAAGTAAGAGAAGCCATCTTTCAAATGAAATATAATAAGGCACCAGGACCTAACGGTTTTCCAGCAAAATTCTACCAAGTGTTTTGGTCTCTCATTAAAGATGACCTAATGGCCATGTTTCGAGAGTTCCTCGGTGGTAGCTTGCCTCTTTTTAACCTTAATTTTGGGACAATCACTCTGATTCCAAAACAAAAGGAAGTCAAACAAATTTAGCAATATAGGCCTATCTGCATGCTCAATGTGAGCTTCAAGATCTTTACTAAGGTCTTGGCTAATAGGTTAACTGTTGTGGCCGACAAAGTAGTGAGAAAGTCACAAACAACATTTATGCCGGGAAGAAACATTCTGGAAGGTGTTGTGATATTGCATGAAACAATTCATGAGCTGCACAAAAAGAAGAAGAATAGGGTGATACTAAAATTGGATTTTGAAAAGGCTTATGACAAAGTCAATTGGTCCTTTGTACAACAGTCTCTTAGGATGAAGGGTTTCTCGTCCGTTTGGTGTAAATGGATTGAAGAGGTTGTGAGTCGAGGAAGTGTGGGGATCAAAATAAATGAGGAAGTGGGCCATAACTTCCAGACCAGAAAAGGACTTAGACAGGGGGACCCCTGTCACCTATCCTTTTCAATTTGGTTGCGGATATGTTGGTCATCCTTGTTTCGAGAGCAAAGAACCGTGGACAGTTTAGGGGCTTGGTACCTAACCTAGTTGAGGACAGGCTGTCCATTCTACAGTACGCAGATGACAATATATTATTTATGGAGGACGATTTAGAGGAGGCTAGAAATCTAAAACTTATGCCGGTGGCCTTCAAAAAATTGCCAGGCTTGAAAATTAATTTTCACAAAAGCGAATTGTTTTGTTTCGGTGAGGCTAAGGATAGAGGTAAAGAATATGTATAGCTTTTCGGTTGTGTAGAGGGAAGCTTTTGCTTCAAATACTTAGGAATCTCGATGCACTATCAAAAACTCTCAAACAAGCACTAGAGTTCTGTAGAGGAGCGATTCCAGAAGAAACTTAGTAGCTAGAAAGGGAAGTTTCTTTCCTCAGGGGGGCAGACTAGTGTTGATTAACTCGATTCTATCAAGTTTACTGATGTTTATGATGTCCTTCTTTGCCATCCCTAAAGGGGTACGAAAAAGACTGGATTACTATCGATCCAGGGTTTTCTAGCAGTGTGATGAGCACAAAAAAAAGTATAGGCTGGCTAAATGGAGTATACTTTGTAAGCCAAGGTGCATGGGAGGACTAGGAATTTTAGATTTGGAAGTTCAAAACAAGTGTTTACTTAGTAAATGGTTGTTCAAGCTTTTTAATGAAGATGGTTTGTGGCAAGAGGTACTTAAGAAGAAGTACGTCAAAGGTAAATGCTTGTCTCAAATTGAAAAATGGTCGGGAGACTCACATTTCTGGTCTGGGTTGATGGAGGTGAAGGAATTGTTGTTACAGCATGGGAGGTTTAGGGTTCAGAGCGGTCACCAAACAAGATTTTAGGAGGAAGTATGGGTCGATCAAGAACCGCTAATGCGGATGTTCCCGGACCTGTACAGGATAGTAAGGAAGAAAGGGGTATCGGTAGCCAGTGTACTTAGTTTGACTCCGCTGAACATCTCATTTAGGCGGGGAATAGCGGGGGAGAGACTGAAAAAATGGCTCAAGTTGGTATTTCTAGTGGTACCAGTAAATCTAAACAACGACAAGGATATCTTCATTTGGCAAATAAAAAATGGAGTGTTTTCAACACAGTCGTTGTATAGAGAAATCATGAAAAGGGAGAAAATTTCGGGAGAACACATGTTCTGGAAAGCAAAATTACATCTGAAAATTAAAATTTCCTATGGTACTTAAAAAGGGGTAATCTTAATGAAGGATAATTTAGTAAAAAGAAGGTGGAAAGGATATTCTAAGTGTGACTTCTGTGGTTTGGAAGAAAATACTCAACACCTCTTTTTTGATTGCCGGGTGGCCAGATTTGTTTGGAACATGTTTACCACCTTTAACATTCACCAACCAAAAAGCACTTCTCATATGTTTGGATCTAGGTTAAGGAGATTTGCTCCAGGGTTAAGACGCCAAATAATAGTGGGAATGGCAGCCATATGTTGGGTCTTATGGTTGAATAGAAATGATGCAGTGCTCCAAAGGTTAATTACTAACTCATACTTGCAGGTAATTTTTAGGGAAACTTGATTAGGCAATGGTCCCTGCTGTCTAAAAAGGATGAGGGAAGAATGATGAAAGAAGGATGCAAACGTCTAGAAGGAGTGGTGCTTCAACTCTTTGGCTCCACGGATTGGAAGAATCTAAAGAGATTAGGAGCGTAAAGTCCTCTTGTGACACCTTTCTTTTGAAGTTGGTTTCTAGTTTTCTATGGTTTGGGGTCAGTGAACTATTCGTGTTGGTATCTTTCTCATGTAAGATCATGGATCTTTGTCAGGTCAGGTCCTCTTAGCGGAACTTTGGCTGAGTCCCATTCTTGTATGTTTTAAGCTCTAAGCATTCACTGGTGAATGTGAAGGCTGGGATATTTATTCCGCAATCTAAAAAAGATATTTTAAGGAATTTGTAATTTATCCTTAATCAAAATTTGAACAACTAGTTATGTGTGTGTGTGTGTGAAAAGAGACAAATCAAGAGAAGAAAAAAATACATGTTACGGTGTTGCCTATGCTGTGGCTGTGCGATGACCGGCCCTTGGGCCCTAGCATGGTTGCTGGCAACTACCGTGCTGGTGTGGACGTGCGAGCTTGCCGTAGCTTGTGGCTAGCCTTTGGTTGAATACCTGGGTGTTGGGCTGCTTCCTGCTCAACCAAGGTGGCCTACAAGTCGGGCCTGGCTACCACGGTCATTGTGTCAGTGCTTGTGGCCATTTCCCGCTTACACCCGCCCTCCATCTATGTCCGATCATGTCCCGCTTGCACCCTGCTAGCTACCTTTGTAGGATCTTGGCTCCATCCACCGACCCTTGCCACTACTGTCCCACCGCCAACCGCCAATCCTAGCTCTAGATGCAAGCACCCACCGCCCTAAAGTTCACAGTCGCTTGCGTGATTCCGATTCGGGCATTTGGCCAAGAAGTCGAGAAAGGGAGAAACAGAGAAGAATAAATGTCGATTCTTTTTTTTGCTAATGTGCTATTGGGCTTCTCTATTTGAGCCAAAACACACCAAGCCAGCCTAAGAATGAACAACTTCGTCTTCAACCTCAAGTTCGGTGTCCATCCCCTCCTTCCCTAGCTCCAATGACAAAAACTTTCATGGGGGCTGAGGGGGGTGAAAATTTTAGACACAAGTGAAAGGTCCTAATGGCTAGAGGGGGGTGAAT